TTTTTAAAACATCCCCCAGTTTAGTGCTCATATGTTTGGGTCACACCCAAGGTTTATGGCAGCGGATCCCATCTGGAAGACTGTATCTGGTACATTTATGAGAAGCATTGATAATTCTTCATTTATGAGAAGCATTGATAATTTACAGTGGAGCAGAGGAGGCAACCTTCACAATCAAAGGCCCAGAAACTAAGGAATGAGTGAAGGGCTAAAGGAATAAGAATTAGAATAAGAAAGGGAAGAGCTGGGAGGAACATAAATAACAATGACATAACACAGTACACAGTAGAAATGTAAATATTTCAAGGGTTATTACATAGAACAACAACAACAAGACTTTGGATTTGAAAGAAAACCATAGTTCAGCTGAAAGACATAAATCAGTACCTTCTAACTTAGAAATCTCCCGAAATGGAGCCCCTATAGCAAAATTTCCGTCATAGCAGGAAATTGACTACTGCCTAGTCAAGAATATTTTGGACTTGGTTTCTGCCCTAGAATAGAGGTTGAACTAGATTGCCTATGGATATTATTCATCTGTTTACTTAAAGGACAACATTTTAAATAGCAGATTACTAGTTTGATATCTTTGTCATATTTGACACATGCCTCCCAGAAGCCACATCAGTTTCTAATATTATCATCTAGGAGTGTTTATTTAGCATCAGAAGAAAGCTCAAAATCTTATAGATGGAGAAAACAAAAACGCCATGGTTCTGTGTAATTACAGAATAACAGAACATTAGATCTAAAATGGACTTCACTGCAAAAGTGAGAGATGACTATCCAGAGAGTTTTCAGCCCTTCCTATGGATACTTGGTTAGAACGGGCGGAGCACTGTCCCCTGATCATCTCTCCACTTCACAGATCTTTCCACCCATTTGGTTGAGGCTTAGCCCACAGCAATCAGCTCAGCAGTAACAACAAAAGTCTCTGACACCACCATCCTGCGTCTACCCACTACTCACCTTATCCCTGACTTGCAACAGCTAAATAAGCAGCATCAGGAATCCAGCCTGTGCCTCAGCACTAATCCCCAGTTTTTGCTCCACCCCACTGTAGCTTCTGTCTTTTCTGCATCTTCTCACATCAGCATCTATAAGAGGAAAACCTCAGTCTTTATGGTCCCTAGACTAGAATCCCTTCATAGTCCCCAAACTAGAGAGAGAAGAGCTCATGACAGACTACATGTCAATCCCATCCAACCAGCCTCCCGTCCTCAGCTGAGAGGTACACCAGAATTTCCCAACTCAGTCTCAGCCAAACGACTCAACACTTCAGTCAAATGACTGGCCCCTCTGTTGAAGCTTTCTAAACGGAGCAGTCAAATAAGATTGACGATTGCTGTGAGGTTTACTGTTTCTTCTGTTGTTGAAAATAAAAAATAAATTATATGACTCCAAAGGCTACCATATATTTATTTAACATTAAATGGAATTTGAGGCTAACCAAACCGTCTTCCTTAGTCAGGACAATAAACCAGATAACCTCACGAACCATATCTTTATAAAATAATAATGGATATAGAGCATGCATTTGAAACAGCAAGGTAACTTTTTAAAATTTATGACTGTTTCAAAAGTTTAAAGACACACACTTCCTATATAATTAGCAGAGAATTTACTACCATTATGAGTTCATTCACTGACCCTCAGTTTACTTTCCTATATTTGAAATATAAAAAATGTTTCCTCTTTCATAAACACTATGGACAAGTTAAGAAGCAATGTTCTAGAAAATGTGTTATTATATGTATCTCTCCAATTCAATCAGGATCCAGTAATCAACATTAATCAGAAGTGTTCATGCTTTATGTACAAAACTGTTTCAGAAATGTCAAGAGTGAAATAGATCCTAAAGATTCTTCTTAGGTCTGACTTATGACTTAATAATATCAACATGAAATTGGTTGCTTATGAAGGAATTAATAAGTTTTGTTTGGTGTGTGTGTGTGTGTGTGTGTGTGTGTGTGTGAAAGAGAGAGAGAGAGAGAGAGAGAGAGACAGAAAGAGAAAGACAGAGAAAGAGAAAAGAAATTTTGTTATCTAGTTCTCTCTTGTCCATTAAATCTATTTGTGTGATTTTATAAAAATAAGAAACAACTTGATGAGTGCTAAAGAGAAGATAAACACTGTCCCTGATTCCTGCACTTTCAGTCCAGATGGTGATGAGGCTGTGTCAGAGTGGGTGGCCCCCAATTCATGGTTTCTCTCTACTCCCCTGATATATATATATACACACACACACACGGACATAAAGATAGGAACAATAGGCACTGGGAAGTACAAGAAGAGGGAGGGAGAAAGTGGGGCAGGAGTTGAAAGCCTACTGATTTGGTATTATTTTATATATATATATACACACACAGTTTGTTGTAGAATACATGTAACACAAAATGTTTCTATAAGGACTTTAAAATGCCAGTTTGTCACTGTGGTGGCTTTGTGGTTCCTTCTGACAAGCATTGAATCTATTCCACTACTTTCTCCCTCTGTGTAGAATTCATGTTATTTGCCCAACATTGGCACTTGGCATTGTCCCCAGTAATCTTCTCTCCACCTTCCTCTCTCTCTAAGAAGCTCATAGCTCTTAGAGCTATAGGTAGCCATCTTGTAACCAGGAAGGCAGTTAGCCTCTGTTGAAAGCAGCGTTCAGAGGTGAAAAGAAACATATCCCTGGTGACCCCTCTTACCCAGCAGACACTACATTCCCTGAAACCTGACCTTTATAACTTTTTACTTATTGGGCCCACATATTCCATGTTGCCTATACCGGTATGACATGGTTTTCTGTTATTTGCAAACACAAGCTTGCTCCCTGGCACAGTAATTATTCAGAATATTTGGGAAAGGGTGAGGAACTGAGTAATATATTAAGTGCCTACACTTTATATCATTTTATCCCACTAAGTGATAGATATCATTTTCCTAATTTTATACATAAGAAAAATGAAGTATATAGAAGCTACATAATTTGAATGAAGCTATAGGGGTAGAAGCAGAATTATAATCAGGACCTTCTGAATCCAAGGCCCCTTTTCATTCTGCTAGACAAGCAGCTCTCAACCTGTTTCTTCTTTATCATCCATAGCAGACGAGGTGCAGGTACAGAACACACTCCCATGGGCATATCTAGAGCTGAATGTAATCCTGTCCTCTTCCCATAATTCAACCTGTTTATCTGCTACTCAAGAAAGCAAATCAGGATGCAAGGCATAGTGGCATTTCTTGTAGGATAACTTGACATTTCTTTAATTTAAAAGGCAAAAAATTTACTCTAAACCCACTGAGGCTATCTGTAGTTTTACTTCAAATTATTTTTGACAAATCTCACTGACACATTGCTCCCTTCTGCTTTTCATTATGCTTGTTATTGAATGAATGTTTTTTTCCTCCTGTGCTCCACTCAACAACAAAAAAAAACTCAGACACTGAAATCCTAACGATGAATATGATAGTACTAAGAAGGGAGCGGACCTTTGGAAGGTGTTTGGGACATGAGGGTGGAGCCCTGCTGAATGGGATTAGTGTCTTGTAAAAGATATCCAGAGAACTAGGGTGCCCCTTCCCCCTTCCACCATATGAACTTACAGTGAGAAGGTGGGAGGACAACCATCTGAGAGGCAAACAGCAGGCCCTCACCAGACACTGAATCCATCAGTGCCATGATCTTGGACTTCTCAGCCTCCAGAACATGAGAAATAAATGTCTGCTGTTTATAAGCCACCCAGTATATGGTATTCTGTTATAGAAGCCAAACAGACTAAGGCAATACTAAGCGGATGTGCTTTCTTGTACTTTTAGAGCATGCTGGAGAGCTAAGAAATTTTTACCCATGAAGAAAATGAGCAGTCGAGGTCAGAGGTGTCAAGCTGAGCTCTTGTTATCATTGTATAAAAAGGAAAAACTCCACAATATATTTGGTAGCAGTACCAGAGGCTTCCCCTACCAGTTTTGGCACCATCCAGTCGAGATTTCTCCTGGCTCAGCTATCCATCCTGTTCTGTTGACTTTGCACTGACTCAGTTTGGTTACTCTAAATGTACTCACCCAATTCAAAAAAGTTTGAGCCACCTTACAATAAGGTCATAGAACTTGTAATTATAACAGAAACAAAGGAAACAACAGTATATAGTTAGGAGCCAAGAAATCAACTAAGGAGGGGGATGATTAGGTTCCTGGAAGAGAGTCCAAGACAGGGGTTGACTGTGAAATGTGACTCAAACACCAGATTCTTTTCTTTTTTTTTTCTGCCTCATCGTTTCAAAATCTTTAGCAAGTTGATGTAATAAATATATTTCCTACACCACTTCAATTACCTGGGTTGGCAAACTAGAACTTAATTACAACTCATAGTCAAGTAACTTTTAAAAGTTAGGTCTTTATCCTGTGACCCTGAGAACTGATATCTTGGCAGTTGCCTGGGAAATCATGTGAAATCACACCCAGACACAGGGATACTCACTGACTCTGCTGCTGTTGGTTCTTGGCTATGTGGGATTACTTTTGAAAGCAACAAAGAAAATTCCTTGTTTTCCTCTGCAAATAAATTCCTCTAAGAGGTAAGAACATGTGGACAATATTACATGGAGTCATTTTTTCTACTCTGCATTTCCTCGTATTTACTTATTTGTTTGTTTGTTTGTTTATTTTTTATTTTTTTGAGATGGAGTTTTGCTCTTGTTGCCCAAGCCAGAGTGCAATGGCATGATCTTGGCTCACTGCAACCTCCGCCTCCTAGATTCAAGAGACTTTTCTGCCTCAGCCTCCCAAGTAGCTGGGATTACATGTGTGCACCACGACACCTGGCTAATTTTTTGTATTTTTAGTAGAAACGGGGTTTTACCATGTTAGCCTAGCCAGACTGGTCTCAAACTCCCGACCTCAGGTCATCCGCCAGCCTCGGCCTCCCAAAGTGCTGGAATTACAGGTGTGAGCCACCATGTGTGGCCCACTTCCTGGTTTTGAGATTTTTGCTTCAACTCACTCCCTATGAGTAGTCTATTCACGTTAAAAAGCAACCACATTCCAGGAATCCTGGTTTGCATAATGTTCATATGTTTGCTCTCTCTCTGCCCACATTAACCTTTCCACAGATGGTGCAGTTCAGAGAGCCAGAGTTGGGGGCCTGAGACAAAAACTGCCTGAGCTTAAAAACCATGTGTGCTGTCTCTGTGGGACACATCAGCAAATACTCCTGGCCACATCTACAGCTCACCAAAGACCCAATGGTACCTCTCATGTCTTTTCAGTACATCATGGATATTTGGTGATTATGAACATTAAGAGTCTCACGTTCTTTCCATTCCCTTTTACCTGTTGTGAACACCCCACACTCTACTAAATCTTTACCTAACATGTCTCATAGGTTGAAACTAACTTACTTATCTATCCCTGAACATCAAATAAATTCTGCCTATATTTCCTTAGCCATTCCCTTTATTCTTATTTTGAGACTTCGATAATAGTGGTTTCTCCCTGCCTGTATTCTCAGTAGAAAGCCACACTGGGTATCACTTTTTCTTTTTTAAAAACTCACAATTGGAGCACTCTCATCTTGCATTTTAAGGAGCTAATCACATGTCAGTTTTCCCAACCAGACTGGGCTCTTCAAGGGCAGGGACATGCTTTCTTTTGTATCCTCAGCCAACTGTCTGGTGCAAAGTAGGTGGTGCATATATTTTTTCTGACTAAAGCCATGAAGAAATGAATCAAGCCACAGTTTCATTTAAGATGAATGACCTAGAGATGGTCTGAAGTAACTAACTGGGCAGTCACTCAGGGAAAGGGAAATCACCAGATTATCTGCACTGTTGAGCAGCCACACCACCACCTACTCCCCAGGCATGAATGCCAGCTTTCAGCTGTGCCAAATCATGCTCTCTCCTAGGGAATAGGAAATCTAGATCATGCCCATGTGCCCTGCTTCCTGCCAAGTGTTATCATGACTGCCCAGCCCCCTCAGATGACAGTAATGAAGAAAGGACTTAATACACCTTACCCCAGCATGTCTGGGGAATCATGCTGCCATGTATCATCTCTTTGCAAGCCCCCAACAGATGTGTTCTTTTGTCTAACTTTGACATCTATTTTTGGGTTAAGGCTCCTAGTCTGATGCTTTCTTTCTTCAACATGCTCATTTTAGCCAGGGGCTGTATTAAACTATTGTTTGTCAGTGTTTTCTATGAGAAATGAGATGACCATTTAAGGTGTACCATACCATCACACTGATAAGGACTGTTATCTGAAGGTCAAGGACAGCCTCATGGTACCAGGGTAGTGGACATCAAAACCCAGCAGAAAAAAGCCACTCATCTATGTCGGGGTGTAATTTGGTTTCACTGCCCATCTCCTCCCCAGTCCCCTAAAGCTTTGCACCTTCATGATCCAATACCACATATAACATCTATACTTGTCCTGAAGCCCCCAGGGAAGAAAACTGCATTCTAGTGAATGTGTGCTTTGTTAACTACAGCATAATAAACATGATGCTATAATTATCCATGTTTTTATAGAGCTGGGAAGCTAATCTCTTTAAGAATTAGTGTACCTGGCAGACAGGCTCAGCATTTTGCATTTGTTTTGTGATAATGCATGGCTTCTTAGTGGGTTTGTTGGTTGCAGCATTTTAGCAATATCTGGATGAACACTATACTGAACACATTTTTGTATGTGAGTCTGATTAAAAGTGTTGTTAAAATCGCATTGTTATCCCACTCTGCTTCCAATTCCACTCTATGAAAAGGCTTATTACTGGAACCTGAGACTGAGAAAGCTTTCCCCAGCAGCTTCTGGATTCTCCCCCTCACTGTAGGTTAAGTTTACACATGGATCGAGTAGTGAGATTTGAGGGACTTGGAATGAAAACGTCCACTCTACATCCCATGTTGTTGATGGGCTTGGCACTTTACATTCCAGGACTAATGAGTCAATATTTTGGACCTAGTAGATATTATCTTCTAGAATATTCCTTTATTCATTCATTCAACAAGTCTTGGAGTGTCTGCCCTGTGTCACTCACTCTTTAGACACTTGGATACTATTGTCAGACAAACAAAATACTCCGACATTCTAGTGGTGCAGGGGAGGCAACAGAAATAAATGAGATACATATATAAAATATACAATAGTGGAATGATGATATGTGCTTATGTGAAACGGAAAACACGAAATGAAGGAGTCTGGGGAGGAAGCTATAAGTTACAGTTTGATTAGGAAAGACCTCATTGAAAATGTGACTTTGAGTAAGCACTCTGTTAAAGAATGAGTATCTCAAGGGGACACATGTAAAATGATGGAATTTTAACCAGTAATAACTAGAGCTATTAACAGTTGATACCTTCTGCAGGGATAATCTTATAGAACGGCCCAGCTGCAGTGGAACAAACTGTAGAACACAGATTGAGGGTCTGTATGGTGACATCAAAAAAGAAGTCTCCTAAATGTATAGTTTTGCCTGGAGCAGGCTTAGCCCCATGGCTGGGCAGGGCCTTATGTGCTCATCTTCTTACCCTACTTCCTAAACCAGGGCTTCAGGATGCTTGGACCAGGAGAATCATCCTCTGAAGAACATGAATTATATTTGGGAGACTGAGTTCTCTCTACTTGGAAGGCCCAGGAAAGATTTCCCCTTTTTTCTGCTGCTTTCTTCCTTAGTAGATCTTTTAGAAGTTTCTTAAATTTGTAAAATTGATCTCCCTTTTCCTTGAATCTTTTGTTGTTAGCTGTATACAGAGAAAAAGTCCCATGTATAAATTGGCCATTTGTATGATATTTACAGGAATGGGAATTAAGCCTGAATTTTTAAAATGTTTTTTCAGACCCTGAGTAAATATTAATAGAACTCATCTACCATGGAATTATGGAAAACAAAGTTGTGATAATACTTATCCTGGAATATCATCCAGACTTGCAAGTTGCTAGACATGAAACAAAGACAGCAAACTGGAACTGGAACACGAGGGAGAATGTGGGGTCCACGGAGGGCACTGCAAGTCCCTTTCTGTGATTGTCTCCAGCTGACTTCAGATGCAACATTACCATGGCAACTTCATAAAAACAAGGAGGGTAGGCTGAGCTCTTCCCAGCTACTGAATTTTCTGAGTCTCTCTCCATTGTCTGATGATCTTCCTGCCTGAGATCTCCCACTTTTTATTAAGCACCACGGGCACGAGACGAGAGCTCTGCCCCGGCTAGGCTTGTTCCCATACGTATGTTCCAGTGAGCGTGCACAGGAAGCCCGGGTCTGAGTTAAACAGCGACCACATGTGGGAAAAGTTGAGTTTCTTCCTTTGAAGGTTAATGACAACCAAGCTAGGTTAAATGAAACACCTGTCTGGAAGAAATACAGACAACAGCGATGCTCATAAATAGAACAGGTCACCCGCTGAGCTGACTCTAGTGCAACCTTCTCTCACAGTGCTGATATTGCCGAACCACGAAATCATACCCACCAGCACATCATTTGTTAGAAAGGATGTCATTTTGAACATCATTAAATGTATTTTTTTTTCACCCCCCAAAACCAACATAAGATGAATCTCACATGTCAACTGTAAAAGGCATCAGCTGTTTCTTACTGAAAACACAACATGGGGTTTTCACACTTCAGCATGCGGCCAAAGGGCCTCAATGGCTTGCAAAATAAAAGTACTGGGCCCCACCCCCAGACTTTCCTTCTATAAATCTGGAGCAAAGCCTGGGCATCTGTACTTCTAACAGAATTTGAATTTGTTGATGCTGCTGCTTCTGGGCTAATTCTAGAACCACTGGTCTAGCAGAGACCTCTACTTCTCCACATGGCTGCCCCTGCCTGCTAGGGAAGTGCTTCTTTCTTCATGATAAATATGTAAAAGCATTGCATTTATTGTTTTTTTTTAATATCATTTCTGATTTTCTGAAAGCTCCACAGATTGGTCCCAAAGAAAGTGTTCATGAGCAGCTTCCTGTGAAACACAACTAGACAAATAACACTCTACCCATTGCAGATGTATAATTGGAATTCAAATTGATTGTGTGCATGCTTTTTTATGAGTAGCATTATTTATAAACTTGGAATTGGAGTGTCTTTATGGAGTCATTACTACCATTCAGTTCAACACTAAGTGATTCTTCTTTGCATCCAAAATTGGTGGAGCTAGCGGATGAGCACTGAGTTGAATTCATACACTATTTGTCTCATTGAAGTACTGACAGCACATGCCACAGTCCACGGGCTGTTTCAGTTATGCTCATGTTCATGTTGTGTTGAGAAAACTCTCTCTAAGTGTGTTTTCTATTTTTTCTAACACTACAGCAATCATCAATAGAGGAGAAGACTTCTGTGACCATATATGTGGGGTGTTTTTCCCCACACACCAAGCAGTGAACACCAGCTAGGTGTCCTCTAATTCAGTTCTGACATTATCTACCTGGAGACAGTGTCAGATCTCACAGGTTGAGGGCTCAGTCCCTAAGACTGCCCTGTCTTCCACTCACCCCACCCCAGTCCCAAGTTTGGGCTTCCAGAACTTCTGACCACCGAGCTTCAAGTTGGGATTCCCATAATCCTTTCTTTAGACTCACCAATTTTCTGGAGTGGCTCACAGAACTCAGGGAAACACTTACTTACATTTGCTGATTTATGATAAAATATATTGCAAAGGATCCAGATGAGCAGATGTATAGGGTGAAGTGTGGGGGGAGGGACACAGAGCTTCCATACCCTCCCTGGGTGCCCTGCCCTCCAGCAGCCTCCAGGTGTTCAGCTCTCAGGAAGCTCTTGGAACCCTGTCCTCTTGGGTTTTAATGGAAGCCTCATGACTTCAGTATTCCTTCTTCCAGAGAATAAGGTGGGATCCTCTAATGAGAGAGTCTTAAGACCCACAATCAGAAAGTCCAGGGAAGATTAGAGTCCTACTTTGGGCAGGTAAAAGGAGGGCCAGACATCAGTGGCCTGCCCCTGAGTCCTAACACACCCAACATTATAACAAAGGACTGTAAAAAGGGCTGTGGTGCTTATGAAACAGGAACCATGGATGAACACCAGTATATATCCTAACACCACACATGTCATATATGTAGATACATAAGTACAGAAATACACACATATATGTGACTATATATATATAAATCTAAGGACATGTATAGACATGCATGAAAAATTTCAAAGAAATGACTCAAGTATTTTTGGAGCGTTAATTACAAGTGAAGCCATTTGGAACATGAATAAAGAATGCTTATAGCATTTTTA